CCAAATGCCCATCAATGATAGACTGGCTAAAGAAAATGTGGTATATGTACACCATGGAATACTATTCAGCCATAAAAAGCGACAAGATCATGTCCTTTTCAGGGACATGGATGGAGCTGGAAGCCATCACCCTCAGCAAACTAATGCAGGAACAGAAAACCAAATACCGCATGTTCTCATTTATAAGTGGGAGGTGAATGATGAAAACACATGGACACATGGAAGGGCACAACACACACTGGGGCCTGTTGTAGAGGGGGCTGGGGGAGAGAGAGGGTCAGGAAGGTTAGCTAATGGATGTTGGTCTTAATACCTAGGTGATGGGGTGATCCGTGCAGCAAACCACCATGGCACATGTTTACCAATGTAACCTTCACATCCTGCACATGTATTCCTGAGCTTAAAGTAAAAATTAAAGAAAAAAAAGAAAGCAACTGAGATATTTTATATTCTTTTTTGGATGCTAAGATTTCAAGATCTGGTATGAATTTTACACCTACAGCACATCACAATTTGGACTCATCACATTTCAGATGCTCAAGAGTTGCATGTGGCTAGAGGCTACCATACTGAACAGGATATCTCTACATCTGTGCTTCTCAAACTTTGGCACAGATGGGAATAATCCAGAAAGAATACTAAACACAGATTCCTGGACTTCATTCATTCACAAAGGTCAGGGGCAGGACCTGAACATCTGCATTTCCAAAAAGCTCCCAATTGATGCTGATGCTACCAGTCCACAGACCACACTTGGGATAGCTTGCACAACAAAGCACACATATCTCCCAGTGAACCGTGGCAATTATAGTGATGATAACAAATAGTTCTCATGTTTTACCTTTCAAAAGCACTTTGCATAGCTACTAGAGAAATTCAAATTAAAACTAAACTGAGTTACCACTGCACACCCATCAGAATGGCCAAAATGAAAAGTAGTAACACCAAATGCTGGTGAGGATGTAAAGAAACTGGATCACTCATACATTCCTGGGAGAATGGCAAATTGAAAATAGTTTGCCCATTTCTTTTAAAACTATAAATGGATTTATCATACAATTATATTCTTGAGCATTTATCCCAGAGAAATAAAAGCTTATTTCATGCAGAAATGTGTACACATGTATTCACAGCATTTTTATTTGTAAAAGCCCCAAACTGGAAATGTTCCTCAAGAGGTGAATGGTTAAACAAACTAGTGCATCTATACCATGGAATACTATGTCACAATAAAAAGGTATAAACTATTAATACACACAAGAGTTTGGATGAATCTCAGTGACATTACGCTAGATGAAAAATACCCAACCTCAAAAAGGTAAATCCTCATTCCATCTACATAACATTTGTGAAATAACATAGTTGTAGACATGAACAAAGTAGTGTTTTTCAGGGGTTGAGGAAGGGAACAATGGAGGTGTGGCTATAAAGGGAGAGCATGAGGGAATCTTGTGATGGCTAATCTTGGTTATGGTAGTAGTTACGCAAAACTGCCCATGTGATTAAATCATACAGAGCTACACACATGCTCACACATAAATGAATGCATGCATAAGTGGTGAAACCAAAATAGCTCTATAGATTGTGCTAATGTCAATTTCCTGTTTTTGATATTGTGCTATAGTTATGCAAGGTGTTAACACAGGGTGAAGGGTACACAGAACCTCCCTGTATATTTATTTGTACCTTCTTTGCATCTATCATTATCTCAAAATAAAAAGTTTTTTTTAAAGCACTTTGCATATGCTATCTCACTTGATCCTCATGATAACTCTGGGAAGTGAGTAGTATGATCACTAACATTATGCAAAAAAGAAAATCAAGGCCCAGGGGACCAACTGCTGATGGAAGACTACATAGCTAAAAACTGACAAAGCCAGGACTGAAGTAAGACTACATCCTTTCATAAGTATTGATATATTAATGTATAAGTATTAATAGATGTAAAAAAATTTAGGAGACTCAATTATCAGAAATGTAGATGTGCTTCAGATAGTAAATTTGCAAAGTATAAATAAAACACAAGCCCTCCATCTTCCCATGACTTACGATAGACTTGCAGGTTGTAGTGCTTGGTGATGGTGTAGGGAGCAGTCTCTGTATTTATATCTGCTTTGTAGTTTCCTGCATCTTCCATCCTCAGATTGCTAATGATCAGGTTGCAGCTTGGATCTAAGACATGTATCCGATCATAATAATTTCTGTGGGTCACAGTAACTGTGGGTGCTGTTTCTGAGTCTCCTGGTTTTACAAAAGCAACAGATGTTTCAGAAGTCCAAGCAATGATTTTAACTTGCTGTGGTTCTTGGATATTTACAGGGAAAGTGACTGATTCTCCCAGAATCCCAAACACCATGAAGATTTCTGAGTCTTCTCCAGCTGCTTCTGGCCCTGAGAACGCAAGAAGTAAACTGTAGTCATCTGACTGTTGCCCCTTTCACGGTTCCTAATATTTCTAGCCTCAGAGCTTCCTGAGGAGTTGCCACAAATGCAGTTCACCCAGTTTCTTGAGGATGCATTCTACTCTAGGTGTATTTAGTATGTTACGACAACTAAATTTTCTAAAGCATTCTCATTCAAAAACTAAGTTTCTCATTAGAGATCTATGTTATTAAAAATATTTTTACCGAGACTTATAGACTGAAAACTAGAAGGCATTTAAGAGGTGAGGGCCATAAGCCTCCATGAAGTCTAAGATATTAGGTGCATTTCTTTCCCAAAATCATATTGCCAAGTGCTGGAAGAGCTGGAACAAGAACCTGCAATATCATGTCTGACGGACTCTTGGGTCATTGCTTTTTATTTTCCTGTGATCTCTGCAAAAAGCAAGTAACAGTTGTGTCTCTTTTGCTGGAAGATATAGGCAGAGTGCTTTGGAGGCTCTGGAGAAACTATTCCCCAAGTTGGTAATTTTTGGGGATCTTTTTCTGTTTACCTCTATATTCCTAGTCTCTAGAAGAGTGCCTGACACATAGAAGGTGCTTAATAAATATTTGTGGAATTAATTGATAGAATTTACTTGTGTTTTCTAGACTCTCTTGGAACAACTTCTGAAGTAAGCAAAGTTTGTTTATTCATTCATACATTTGTGAATGAATGCATGTATTTATTCAGGATCGGTTTTGTTCCAGATACTATGGTGGGCATTTATTAATTTAATTTATAATATAAGTGTTTGTTGGACATCTACTCTTAAACAAGATACAAGGGGCTGGGGATACAACGGTGAGAAGAAACAGATGCAATTCTTGCTCTTTGGAACTTACAGTCAGAGGAGGATACCAATGTTGATCAGATAATCATACAAACAAATGGATAGATAAAAAATATCTAAGTATTATGGTGATTTCAGAGAGACCAGCAAGAGGACTTGATCTGTTCTGGGAATCCAGGGAACATTTCCTAGGGAAAGCTGAAGGATCAATACTTTTAAAATATAACATGGGAAGATGAGAAGCTTATTTTCTCTTCCCTTTTTTCTCCTCTATCAGTTTTGAAAATAAACTCATTTAATACGTAGTTTGTAAAATGAGAGACAATATAATTACCAGACATTATTTTTTCTGCTCTTCCTTGTCCTCTTCTTCATTATCATGTAATTCCCAATGAGTGCTCTTCAGTGAGAAACAGTGTTTGGGGCAAGCATGGATGATATTCAATATATTTAATAACCAGTATGACATGGACCCTGACCAATCGGAAATGGCGTTAGCCATAAACAAATTAGTTGGGCGGTTCTGGTGTGTACTGGCTACATGTAGGCTCTGATGACCATGACATCAGTTTTCCACAGTTTTCCATCAGTTTAGGTTGACCCTAAAGTTTATCCAAGTCTAGATATATGGAAGAATAAAGATAATAAAGTATACAAGGCCCTTTGAATTGGCACAAAAATAAAGGGATTTCTTAAGCTGATGGGGCTGTCTCACTAAGGTCACCTCTGCTCTTCAGCTCAGCAACCACTGAAAGAGCCCCAGAGACAGCTGATGTAAACCTCTTTGCTTTCTGACCAACAGAGATTTTTTTCCTTAGGAGTAATATCCAGGACAAGGCCTTAGGACTTAGCTGGGGCTGGTTAAGTACAGAAGATGTAACAGGGAAGGGCAGAGAGTATGTGGGGTGGGAGTAGTTAGGGGGTAATTGGGAACCCTTATCTGCAAACATTTGTTAAGCGCTAATTGTGTGTCAGATACGTTAGGGACACATGGATAAACAGGACATCCTTGCAGCCATGAGGAGCTCACAGGCCAGAAAATAAGACAGATGTGGACACAAATGAAAGATAATACAACACTATGAGTGCGAAATGGTAAGAGCACTAGAAATAAACCATTGCGGGGGGCGGTGGGTCAGAAAGAGGCTAATGCTGCCTTTGGTGGTAGGAGTCACAGTTTGCCAAAATTCAAGAACGTTAATTCTCCCCAGACAAACTGTTTTACTGGGCTGATGAGTTCTGGGAGAGAGGTGTTTGGAGCGTCCCAGCCTGAATCCCTGGATGTTCCAGGCAGGGGCATGTGATCTATTCAGTTGCACAGAACCCTGAGCTCAAAAAGACGCTGAACTGGACTTAATGCTGCATTGCCACCTTGAAATTCTACATGCTATTTAAACAAGGGGCCGTCCATTTTCATTTTGCACTGGGCCTGGCAAATTATCTAGCCAGCCCTGGTCCCAGATCTCCTATGTCTCTATTCTTTTTTGAAGTCAGGCCCTTGTGCTTAATTGCTTGCCACTTCACTCTGTGGATTGAGATTAGGTGTGAGGAGTAGACAGAACATAGATTCCGCGACTTGTAATTTTGGTGGGTTCTCTCACCAAACCCCAGGAAGTATGTAGGTAGATTGTTTAGGCTGAGACATTAGGGCAGTTGAGCAGCCACAGTGGTTGGTGTGTGGTGCAGTTTTAAAAGTGTGTCTCATCTCCTGTAGCAAGTCATTCAGGAAGTGATGCCAGAGCATTTAAGGGCAATCAGGCGGTGGAAGTGGTGGGCAGGCAAAGCTGGGGGAAGCTGTTATATGTGCTGCTGGTATAATCGGCAAGAAAACTTTGCTTGCTGGAAAAGGCAAAGGGGTTGCACATGTTTAATATGAAGATTCTGCCACCTTCAAACACTTCAACTGTGCTCTGAGAGAAGCAGCTGCAAAACCATTGCCTGCTGTGGAAAGATAGGGAGGCAGAAGACGTAGGTGCAAGTACTTCTACTTATGAGCTGGAAAATCTTAACATGGTCACAAAACCTTTCTTTTTTCTTTTTTTTTTTTTTTAAGACGAAGTCTCGCTCTCTCACTGTTGTCCAGGCTGGAGTGCAGTGGAGTGATCTCAGCTCACTGCAACCTCCACCTCCTGGGTTCAGGCGATTCTCCTGCCTCAGCCTCCCGAGTATCTGGGATTACAGGTGCATGCCATCATGCCCAGCTAATTTTTGTATTTTTAGTAGAGACGGAGCTTCACCATGTTGGCCAGGCTTGTCTCAAACTCCTGACCTCGAATGATCTGCCCGCCTCAGCCTCCCAAAATGCTGGGATTACAGGCATGAGCCATCTCACCTGGCCTGGTCACAAAATCTTTCTGATTACCCAGGAAATGACATAATATGAGCCTCAGTTTCTTCATCCATAGAATGAAAACAGTAACTAAGGTATTTGCCTTATTTGGTGAGCAGCAAATGATGTAATGTGAGTAGAAGTACTTTGTTGATCATCAAGGCAAAATAAAAATTATTTCTGGAGTTTATAATGATAACATTCATAATACCTTCATCATCACCTTAACAGTTGGTACAAGCCCTTTGGGACTACCCTAGGCCATCCCTATGATGGCCTTGGCGATGCCAGGGCCATATTGGAGCATGTATCAAGAGCCATTTTTTAGGGCTAATTCAAGTAAAGCCTGGAGGGATAGTTTTAGGTACCCTGGATAGACTTTATTCTGCTCTTAAAAGACTTTAAGATTTAAAAGACTTTAAGATTTAAAAGAAAGAATCTCCATATCAATCAAATCCAATATTTATGTTTCTAGATGCCAAAGGGACTCTAATTTCATATTACCACTGGAAGTGACCTTAGTAAAATCTAATTTCAGAGATAACTTGTGGCACAAAAACATCTTGAGGACTTAACATGAAATGCACTATGTTAGTCTATGACAAAGATATATTCTCTGCCTTTTTGGGGGAATTTGATATCCGGTTAGGGAAATAAGACAGACAGACACACACATACACACACACACACGCGCGCGCACACACACACACACACACACACATGAAATTGTCCTTTGCAATATGAGGTAGTGAATAATAAATTCAAATGAATGGTAGAAACAGTGATTACAGTAGAAATTCTAAGAAGGGAAGGATCACTGAGCTGCAGTGGTTAGGAAAACTATCTCAAAGAAAGTAGAATTTGTGGAGGATTTTGAAAGGTGAATAGAATTCTACTGGATGGAAAGGGAAAGGAAGGGTGTCTCAGGTCCTCGGATCCTGAATAAAAGTTTGGAAGCAGAACCTATGATGTTAGTTGGATGAATATAGATTCCCATAACAGAGTGGAGAGAGGTTTAGATTTGTGACAGCCTTGAGTTTGAGGTCTCCATCATAGGCAGAGGGGAACCATTAAGGTTTTTGATGGTGAAAACTCCAATAATGTTTTAGTCATTGTAATGTGGTAACAATGTGTGGGGAGAAAAACCGGAAATAGAGGCTGGATCAGAGAGGCTATTTAGGGGCTACCATGGTCTTCTGGACATGAACCAGGAAACAATAATGGGAATGGAAAGGAAGGGCTGGATTAGACAGATAGCACAAAGAAAGGCAATAAATAAAGAGGCATCTACTAGAACTCAATTGTTCAACAATATATTTTGAGTTTCTACTTTATGTCATTGGACAACTCATAAAGTTTATGATGGAAAGAAGTCAAAGGGAGAAGACAAGTTTAGTCTTAAAAATATTAAATTTGAGGTGATGGTGGGCCACATAAGTAAGTTGTTGAATAGATGGAAGATAAGGAGAGAGAATGGACTTGAAGTATTATTATTTGGGGCACTGTGACAGAATCTGCTAGCTGTTTTCCAACATTTGTTCCCACCTTCGTTCTTTGTAATAGAATTGCTAATTTTTACCAGGGCATATAGCCACCCAAAATAGACTGTATTGTCCTGCTTTCTTCTAGCTAACGTTAGTCATATGACTAAGTTCAGCCCAACAGAATGAAAGTGGAAGTGCTGTATATGACTTCTCTGACTTTAAGAACAGTGAGGAGCCTGGTGCAGTGGCTCATGCCTGTAATCCCAACACTTTGGGAGGCCGAGGTGGGTGGATTGCTTGAGCCCAGGAGTATGAGACTAGCCTGGGTTGGTACGAGACCAACAGGGCAAAACCCTGTATCTACAAAAAAATACAAAAATTACCCATGCAATGATGGTGCACACCTGTAGTACCAAATGCCTAGAAGGCTGAGGTAGGAGGATCACCTGAACCCAAGGGGGTCAGGGTAGCAGTGAGCCAAGATCACACCAGTGCATGCCAGCCTGGGCAACAGAGTGAGACCCTGTCTCAAAAAAACAAATAAACAAAAAAAGAGGGAAATTTGCCCTTTTCATCTCTTCCTTGCTTTTGCAGACCAGAAGGCCATGACAGCTGGATCTCAGACAGACATTCTGAGTCACGAGGAGGACATCAGGTTCTGAGGACGGTGGAGCAGGAAGAGAGAAGTCAGAGACCCCAGTGACCTTGTGAACTATTCTAGCAACTGTGAACTGCCAACTCTGGACTTTTTTTACATGAACAAGCAATAAACTTCTTTCTTGCTTAAGCCAGTCTTACTTTAGTGTCTCTGGTACTTACAGTAACACTGAAATCAAAGGGGTTCAGAGATCATTCACAGAAACAGGGTGGGTGAAAGAGAGGAGGGTCATTCAGGAAGAGTAAGCCTGAAGTCCATGACTGAGCCTTGTGAGAGTGCTCACATTTATAGAAGAGGCATCATCAAAAGAAACCGAATAGACAAAGCAGTAAGAATGCAAGAGAGGCACCAATAGTGGACAATATCACAGAAAGGAGAAAGAGTCTCAAGGAGTTGATTGCCACTGATGTCTAATGTGTCTAATGATTCAGTGTTCAATGGAAATGAAGCCTGAAAATGGCCCTTGGTTTGCCTGTTACGAGGTTATTGATGGCCTTTGAGAATGTGATGCAAGTAAGACAACTCAATGGGAGGCCAGAGTCTAGGGGACTGACAGAGTAGCTGGTAAAGCATGGAGGAAAAACTTGACAGTGAAAGGAGGGAGATAAAATAGAACAATAGATAGAGGGTCAGGTAAAACTAATTTATTTGATTTTGTTTTAAAATAGAAGAGACTAGGGGGGTTGGGGGGCAGGTGCTAGGGAGAGTGAGCAGAGAGAGATGTCCCCAGTGGACCTGCTCTAGGTCAGACGCTCCTGTCCATGGGCTTTCTGGAGCTCCAGGTTTCCCTCTCATAGCGGTTGCCACATTGTGTGGTGGTCATCAGTCTGCGTGTCTGTGTTCTGGACACTGAATGACTTGAGTCCAGGGGTCTTGCCTTAAACCTCTGGTATGAAGCACAGCACAAGACGCACAGGCCACTAATGCTTGCCATGGAACGAAAGATGGAAAGGAAAGTGCAAGCAGTGAAAGCTGTGAGCTTCCAATCAGAGGATGGTCACACCCTCACCTGAAGGAAAGGGAAAGGAAAAGATGAGTGAAAGAGCGAAGGTATTCTGAGATGCTATGAAACATGGGGCTTTAATAACAGGAAGAGGCTGCCTGGTGAAGTAGAGTGACCACAGACTTGAACCAGGTGGGCTTGTGCTCAGGTTCGGTCCCTGACATTTGCTGAGGTCCTGATCTTACTTGATCACGAGATGGGATATAATAATGGCTGCCTCACAGAATTGTTGTGAGGGCACATAGAAGGTGCTTAATACATAGTGGACATTTTGGAATAGATAGGATAAAATACAGGACAATCATTTGGTGGCCTTCATCTCTTCAGTAATGTGGAAGGGGAGACTATCTGCTAAGAGTGAGGAGGGAAGAGTGGGACCAGCTAGGAGGTATACAGACTAAGGGTGCAGATTTTGAATCCAGGTATATTTGAACCCAGCTGTGTTATCTTGAGAAAATCATTGAAATTCACTGTTCCTCAGGTGCCTCATCTGTAAAGTGTGGACAATTATTTATTTATTTATTTTGGGATGGAGTCTCTCTCTGTCACTAGGCTGGAGTGCAATGGGGCGATCTTGGCTCACTGCAACCTCTACCTCCCGGGTTCAAGCAATTCTCCTGCCTCAGGCTCCCGAGTAGCTGGAACTACAGGCATCCGCCACCACGCCTGGCTAATTTTTGTATTTTTAGTAGAGATGGGGTTTCACCATGTTGGCCAGAACAGTCTTGAACTCCTGACCTCGTGATCTATCTGCCGCGGCCTCCCAAAGTGCTGGGACTACAGGCGTAAGCCACTATGCCCGGCGGGACAATTGTTAAATGTAATTGTGAAGATAAAGCATTAGCACCATGCCTAGCACGTATAAATGGTAGTTGCTATTATTTTGGGGAATGTGAAAATTTTGGGGAAATGGTACTATAAGGGATACCATAGGGAGTTGACAAGAGATTGATGAAGGGGATCAAGTGTTCGCTAAGTAGACTTGGGAGCTCAGTGAAGAAGCAGTAACTCACATTTTCAACCTTTCCCAAAGAGTGTGATTTACTGATCTTCTTATGCCAGAACTCAAATAGGAAAAGTAGGACAAAGGCCATACCTCCAAAGGAGAAGCAAGGGCAAGAAAAGGCTGAAACCCTGGGGTGGCGACTTACATGGAAAAATCTGTCCACTGTGACTCTTAGGTAGCTATGGCAAAGAGGGAGCCCAGGACCCCAAGGGCAGGATGGCCAGTGTTGAAAGAGAGCACTGAGGACTAGCTGCTCACTGGAGGTGGCCTGCCCCTCCTGGCTTGGGCTGAGGCACCCTTTCCAATGCAATACACCTTTCTGTGTATAAGATGATAATCCTGTTTCCCCGGATAATCCCAGGTGTATGGGTGGACTTTACAAATGTACATTTCATGGTTAGGTAGCTACCAAAGCCAATGACTAAAAGAAGACAATAGGGGTCGTGAGAAAAAGAATATTTGAACAAACAAACAAATAGAAAAGAATCAGAAACCTCATACACAGTGTAAAGATTGATGGGGTATGATGCTTTTAACTGGTGAGAAGAAAATTCTTCAAGGCTGGGCAAGCGAAATTTACCTAAGTTTTTGGTGGAATCCAAAGTGATTTTGAAATGTCAAATATTGATGACAATGGAGAGGGCCTTTAGGACTAAAATCCCATAGTTCTCCTTAGAGTCTATTAAAAATGAATACGGTGTACCCTTGGAGTTTGGGGAGCTCTCCAGTCGCCTTTCACAACCTCTACCATCACTACTAGGCTCTGCCAGATCTGCCCCTACTTCTCCCCGACTCCATCCATACCAGCTCCCTCTCTTCTGTAAACAGGCCGGGGCACTTTGCCTTAGAGCTTTTGCACCTGCTGTTCTCTTCTTTTCCTACTACACTCTTTTCAGCAGCCCCCTACTTTGTTCAGGTTTCTATCCCAATATCAACTCATCATGAAGAGCTTTCCTGGTCACTGTGCCTAAAATAGCAATCCCCTCCCCATCGTTCTCTATTGCCTTGCCTTGCTACCCTTCTGTTCATTGCACCACTAAAGCATTGCCTGTGCATATGTATTGATTGTCTCCCGACCTATCCCCTCAATACACTGCTACTATAATGCAATTATCAAGAATGCAGAGTCTTTGTCTGTTTCAATCACTACTGTTCCTCCAACAACTAATGAATGATTATTAAATGTTTGTTGAAAAAATGAACACCAGCCTGGGCAACATAATGAGATCTCATCTCTACAGAAAAGAAAATTAAAAAAAAAAATTAGTCAGGTGTGGTGATATGTGCCTGTAGTCCCGGCTACTTGGGAAGCTGAGACAGGAGGATCGCTTGAGCCTGGGAGGTCAAGGCTGCAGTGAACCGTGATTATGCTACTGCACAAGAATTTTTTTTTTTTTTGCAACTGACTCAATTATTCTTTTCCAACAATAGAAAACAAGGCAGAAAATCACAGCGAGAAAAAGAGTAAGGGCAAGAGAGGACTCTTTACTGGTCTCTGAGTCTTGATGTGAAAGATGAAGGATTTAAACTGATTATTAAGAAGAGGAAGATGGCTAACTGTAACTTCTTTCTACTCCAAAATTCTATACTGTTTGTGAAGAAATTTTTTTAGATTCACAGAATGGGGACCCACAGCATAGTTAGTAAAAGTGTCATTAACTAGGGATGAGGAAACACATTCAAGTCAAGGGTCTGCTGTTGACTAGCTAAATGACCATGAACGTCACTTACTTGCTAAGTCTCAGGGTTTTAGTTGGCAAAAAAAATTAAAAATAGAGCCATCCTGTTGTTTTGAGGAATTATGAGGATTAGATGACATGAGAGTGCTCTCAAGTGTGTGCACTAATGGAGAACAGTCTAGTGGTCCCAAGGGGAGCCTTGCCTTGTGGATTCGCCTGTGTGGCACCATGAGTCAGTGATTGAGAACTAGCCTGCCTGGGCTAGAATCCTGCCATAAACCCTAGGGAAAGTCAAGAAAGACAAGAGGCCTTGTCTTCATCTTGAAGACCCCTCGATGCAAGAACTTCAGATCAATGGCAGGGAAAGTCAGTAACCTCTCTGTACCTCAGTTTCCCCAACTTTAAAATGAAGGTAATATTAGCACATTAGCGAAGGTAATAGTAGCACAATATTTGACCACATAAAAATATTATGATGGTTAAATGAGTTAATATTTGTAGACCTCTTAAAATAGTGCCTGGCACATACGAGGCACCATATGTGTTTGCTATGTAAAACAAACATCTTCAAAGAGACTAAACTAACACCTCAGACAACTATGAAGGGAAAAATAAGAGTTGGGGTATTGGGGAGATGTTAAAGTCAGCAAATAGCTATTAATAAGAGTGGAAATGGGGAAGGCTGTCGTGTTGCTTAACAGATACCTCCACCCCCCTACTTTCTTAGCATCCACCAAATAAGCATTTCGGGTGTGTGTGTGTGTGTGTGTGTGTGTGTGTGTGTGTGTGTGTGTTTGGTGTTAGCGGGACTAGCTAAACTTCCCCTTCTCTTCTCCACCCACACTGCCTCCTAGAATCAAAAAGTGGGGGTAGAATATCGCTGAGTATTGCAGGTGTGGGAGAGTGAGCAGAGGTAGCTTTAGCCTGTAGTACCCAAAAGAGAGTTCATTATAACTGCTCACACTGAGTGAAGGGACATAGACAGAAAGGGGAAGCACAGGGTTAGACAGCAGGAATTTTGTGTCATTCTTCAAAGCGACGGAAAGTCCTTGATCATGAGATTTTAAGAAAAAGGAACCTACCACCCCCATGCAATAGTACATTATTTTCCCCTGGAATTTTTACTTTAAATCATCTTTATCGGGATTTAGTTTAACTTGAATCAGTTCGTTGAAAACACACACACACATACACACACACGCACACACACACACACACAATCTCCAAACAGACATGGGATCATCGCCATATGCCATTTTATCATTGCTGCCCTCTATTAGCATGTACTTGAACACTGAGTGTAACAAAGGGGTCCGGTTATTCACAGTGGGCCCACTCACCTCTCGGACTTTTAAGTCTTAACTGCTGAAATGCCCATGACTATGTTTAACATCCAGCAGGACGTCGAGATCATGTTGATGCTGGACTTTTATTTGTTTAA